AAAACCTGTTGTGAGAATTGCACCCAAGGTACTGTCAGCCAAAACGGGGCACTTCGGTGTCTAGAATGTCCAATAGGATCCCTTACATTAGAAAATGAGACCACCTGCAGCTGTGAAGTTGGAATGGTATGGAGCTGGGACGGAGAAACATTGGGTTCTTGTAAAGACTGTCCCCCTGGGACTTACAAAGATGAAGAGATGCTGACCTGCACCGCTTGCCCACTGAACACAACATCCCTCAAAGGTTCTGGCTATTGTTTCTGCCATGAAGGGATGCACTGGAACAAAACCTGTTGTGAGAATTGCACTCAAGGCTCGGTAAGTCTCGAAGGGGCCCTTCAATGTCAGGAGTGTCCAGCCGGATCAATCTCCTTAAACAACGCATCATCCTGCAGCTGCCCGATAGGACAGATATGGAAGTGGGATGGGGATACGAACAGCTCCTGCACGCCATGCCAAAGAAATACTTATAAAGGAGAATCTATGGCAACATGTTCTGCGTGCCCTTCATTCTCATCCTCAGATTCTGGTTCTGAAAAATGTGAGTGCATTGCTGGCATGTTCTGGAACAGTACCCGATGTCAAGAATGCACCAACAGCTCTGTCAGCCAGGAAGGTTCCCTGAGCTGTGATACATGCCCCATTGGCTACCTACCCATAGAAAGAGGGAGGGAATGTAATTGTCCAGAAGGTATGATTTGGAAATGGAACGGGACTCACCGCGGTTCTTGCGAGCCATGTCCTCCTGGCACCTACAAGAATGAAAATATGTCGTCCTGCACAGTTTGTCCAGAAGGTACGACATCTCTCGCAAAGTCCCACTACTGCCAATGCAATGCCGGGATGTACTGGAATCAGTCAAGCTGTTACAGTTGCACCCCAGGTTCTGTCAGTCCACCAGGGTCACAAGAATGCCAGCTTTGTCGTCAAGGAACATTTGCTGATCCCGGAAGATCGTCCTGCAGCTGCCCTAAATGGAGGTCATGGAGCTGGAGTGAAGAGGGTGTTGGGTCTTGTCTGTCTATTCCGAAAGATCTTCTCTTAGTGCCGGTACTAGCTTGTATCACAGGGCTCCTAATGGTAGTCTCTATTGCTCTGGGATTGCTGTTCTGCTGTGAGCGAAGGAAGGGAAAGAATAAAGAGAAGGGACTTGGAAAAGTTGCCTATAATGCTTCAAGTGGAGTGCACCTGGGTGAAGAGGAGGGGAGTTCTCCTAGTGCAGATGACACATCTGACAACATTTACGAGAACTATGAAACTTGACGGTAAATATTCTTTGATAATTTGGCAATACTTCAAGCACATTTCATATGCCACGCAGCCACGCTATCTGTATCACTATCTTAATTTTTGAAATTGATCTTTGACACTCCATTAACTATTACACGGTACACCAATAACCAACTTTATTCTACAACCTCAGGTGAACCTTACAAAGCGAGAAGTACAGCAGTGACATTTCTCCCGCTTGATAGCATTTTCTTCTTGCAGGATTATTCACCTTGGAAATGTTAAGGACCGCGATCATAACCTAAGAAATTTGTAAAAAGTTATTTCTTTTTGAAGTTTGGACTAACTGATCTTTATATTAAGCTGCAGACAAGTTTGTCTGAAAGAATAATTAAAGTTCAAGTACTTCACTAATTAAAGTGTATTTTTGATAAATGATTGAATTTTTGAACTTTTTAAAGACCACAATATGTTGTAAAAGTTTTATACTTATTTCTTTAAATATTTGTATTCTTTTTGCAGAATTATTCACCTTGGAAATGTTAAGGACCGCAAAAACTTTAGAAATTTGTAAGAAGTTATTTGGTTTTGAAGTTTGAACTAACCGATCTTTAATTGATTAAGCTGCCGACAAGTTTGTCTGACAGAATAATTAGACTTATTAATTGGAGAGCATTTTTGGAAAATTATTGAACCTTTTTAAAGACCACGTGTTGTGAACTACATCGTATTACTTTAATTCTTTGACTTTCAATTTACCTCGAAGTTTAACTGCTTAAAAAGTTGTCTTATGGGTAGCTTACTTAACACTAACAGAAAACGGGTCGCGACGAGGGGAAAAATGTTTACGGCTATAACCAATAATGAAACTGACAATTTTGTGTTTAACAGCTGTCCTTCTCTTTTTTCATTAAATATTTTAAAAGTGGGATTATTTCATTATCAGTGCATTTAATATGTACGTCTGTCAAATTTAAGTGTAAATATAATTCATATAATTATATAGTGTTGATCGAAAGTTTTCTATCTGTAAGTACTGCACACAAAATACAACTATTGGAATGTCTTATCGGCACTTATTTTTTCGTCCCTAATTTGGCCAAATTCGGCACCTTTGGCCATACATAGGGCCGGACGGACTTTCTGGCCGGTCAGACTTCCTGGCCGGCCAAATTAGGGCTGTTCCCCATTTAAGTTTCGGGTTACTATCCCTGCGTTGACTTCTCATCTGTGCTCGCTTATCAGGACCCATTTTACTATTTTGGAGACAAATTTGTGGCATCATTGGTTGCACCCAACTTCTGCAGAAGGGTAATCAACTACTGTTGACATGGTGTTGTCACGGTGATAGTATCATACAGATATGATATACGTTTGTTACAACTCTATGAGAGGTCGAACCTGGAGAACCAATAATTTATAGATAAATACACACTGTAAACACATAATTATCCCTGTAAGTTTAGACAAGGCCCACTCCAAGGCCGATACTGGCTTTGATACATCCTTCACGAAACTTCACGAACTTTTGATACAGCCCTGTTAGTTATATACTCCTTTATAATATACTCCTTTAAAACCGCAGAACTTTACCTTAATCTAGACACATTCGTTTCGGTGTATCTCGTGAGTATTTGAGTGTGTCAGTTATTTGTGAAATTCGTATTGTTGTTAACTTAAGTTAGAGAGTTAGAAATAGACAACTTATCTGTAAGTTCAATGAAATGAGTCTCTTTCTTTAGGAGACTGAGTCGTTACGCCACTGATTACAAGCACTGAATCAGTAAATGCGATAAATCCTGACTCCTTTCTCGTGCTTACGTGTATACAGCTGCGCATACTTTTCATTGAATCAGGGCTGTGGCTGGCACGCATTTATAGGCTACTCAATTCAATATTGCAGGGTAAACAATAAGGTTTTAGTTTATGCCCTAATTACTTAATAGTCCAGACTTCGTTTGAGCCCATTCCTAATTCGCTGAGATTTTCAGATGCGTCATTGGGCCAATATGGGTGTTGCCCTGCTGGGTTATACGATAAAATGTTCGTCTCCGTCCGATTTTCGATAGTTTAAACCATTATGAAGGTCCTCGCAAAGCTTCAAGAGTATCCGAAGGTTTGCAGGTAGAAGTGCACTGGAGTCTGGTCTATAATTAATACAGAAAATTCATTTTATTCCACAGAAAATTAGCTGAATGAGCAACATCTCAAGTTCCAGCCGTGCGTAATGAATATTACGCATATTATCAGAGTTGATTGTTTAACTTTGAATAGATGTTTATATTGTCCAGTCCCCGATAACTCTAAGTTGCGTCATTTGACCTCTCTAGCCGGAATATCAGACGCTTCATGGTGCTAGCTCTTAGTCTTATGTGACGAAATAGTTAATTACCAAGGAAATTGTACAGCCTATAGGAACAGATATGCATTAAACCAATACATAGGTTCAGCCAGATTGTACCATGCATTGCTCAGTTTTCATCCTACCAAGTCCCGCTATAACGCCAGCTTAATTACATTCACTACACGTAATGATATAACCCTTCATTTCTACAGAGCAGCTCAATACCCTCCCCATCATTAGACCTGTAATAGCTTCCCAGCTGACTGGTGATAATAGCCTCCCTGCCCTCAGTGACTACTAATATTAGGTCCCTCCCTCTCAGCCCTCAGTGACTACTAATATTAGGACCCTCCCTCTCAGCCCTCAGTGACTACTAATATTAGGTCCCTTCCTCTCAGCCCTCAGTGACTACTAATATTAGGTCCCTCCCTCTCAGCCCTCAGTGACTACTAATATTAGGTCCCTCCCTCTCAGCCCTCAGTGACTACTAATATTAGGTTCCTCCCTCTCAGCCCTCAGTGACTACTGATATTAGGTCCTTCCCTCTCAGCCCTCAGTGACTGCTAATAATAGGTCCCTCCCTCTCAGCCCTCAGTGACTACTAATATTAGGTCCCTCCCTCTCAGCCCTCAGTGACTACTAATATTAGGTCCCTCCCTCTCAGCCCTCAGTGACTACTAATATTAGGTCCCTCCCTCTCAACCCTCAGTGACTACTAATATTAGGTCCCTCCCTCTCAGCCCTCAGTGACTACTAATATTAGGTCCCTCCCTCTCAGCCCTCAGTGACTACTAATATTAGGTCCCTCCCTCTCAGCCCTCAGTGACTACTAATATTAGGTCCCTCCCTCTCAGCCCTCAGTGACTACTAATATTAGGTCCCTCCCTCTCAGCCCTCAGTGACTACTAATATTAGGTCCCTCCCTCTCAGCCCTCAGTGACTGCTAATATTAGGTCCCTCCCTCTCAGCCCTCAGTGACTACTAATATTAGGTCCTTCCCTTTCAGCCCTCAGTGACTACTAATATTAGGTCCCTCCCTCTCAGCCCTCAGTGACTACTAATATTAGGTCCCTCCCTCTCAGCCCTCAGTGACTGCTAATATTAGGTCCCTCCCTCTCAGCCCTCAGTGACTACTGATATTAGGTCCCTCCCTCTCAGCCCTCAGTGAGTACTAATATTATAGGTCCCTCCCTCTCAGCCCTCAGTGACTACTAATATTAGGTCCCTCCCTCCCAGCCCTCAGTAGAGGCCCCTGTACTCTCTCTCTCTATCTCTCTCTCTCTCTCTCTCTCTTAGCACGACTAGTGAACACGGGAACCCTGGACCGGGGATAATTAGCGGTTAGGTAATAGCAGGAGGGGCCCGGGTCAATGAATTATTTAGGGGCCTCTATGATTGCTAATTAGGGGAGCTCATATAGTGGTTTACTAGACGACTGGAGCAGTACGTGTGGTTATCATACCCCACCTCTATAATGGGGTATTATCTCTGACATTGTAATGGGTTCACGGCCTGCCTGTTTCTTATCTCAGTCTTATCTGTTTAACTCGTTTCAGTATGTGAATACGAGTCTGATCTGACTGTTATCTGAGTCTTATCTGAGTCTTATCTGAGTCTTATCTGACTTCGAGAACAGTTCACTGCGTTCCTTTTTATGTTATCATGTCCAGTTTCTTTGTGGCGGATGGTGCTCTAGATTTTAGAGTTTGGTGGCACTTATCTAACTGTTTAAAAGTTTGGTTAAAACTAGATCATAATTGGATCGGTTTTAATTTGGTTATACATCTTAGTGATCTTCATAAGCAATAACTTTAGAAAACTTGCTACGGATGTTAGCGTTATGATTCCAATTTGTATTTATATTTTGGCTCCGAAAAAGTGCGTTCAGTTCAGTTTTATTTTTGAAAAGTGGCTGCTTGATAATTTAAAAAATAAAAACAGCCACTTAAAATTCTCAAATGCTATAACACAAGCAGCTGTGCGATGTTGAACTTACAATCCTTTTTTTCTGGATAAGAATGAGTTCTACTGTCCCAAGTTAAAGTTATTGTTCTTATAGTAAAATACTAAAATAGTGTGCATGCAAACGCGTCATGGTCAATTGTCCTGTTAGCTGTATTACAAAATTTTATAAAAATAAGACAAAATGTTAAGATTTTAAAGAAAAGAACCGTAAAATCACAAAGTTGCTGTCTTTGTTTAGACACAAAGGTAACACGTGGAGAATCATCAAAGAGAGACAGAGAGAGGGAGAGAAAATTGTAACAAAGAACTGCCCACTAAGAAGTTTTCTATATAAAAGGGGTAAACCTCGGAGAGCAGAGCAGTTGAAGAATTTTAAGAATATGAGGGTCACAGTTATCTATTTGACTTTTGCTGCTACCATCTTTGTACTAGTGAGGTAAGTTGTTCTGTACAATTAAGTTACAATTTGCTTACAATTTATTTACAATTTACTTACAATTTACTTACAATTTACTTACAATTTACTTAAAATCATAGCTTTTAGATATTTCAAAAAGGTTTTAATATTAACTCTATAACCATCCTGATTTAATACCGGAAACAATAACAAATAAAAGCGAATTAAGAATAACATCCAACAGTGTTGTAAAAGGAGAATCTAGCGCAGAGGAACTTCAGCCGGATCTGGAACCTCAAGCTCACACTCTCTTTGAGAAGGAGAACCCAATTGATCCAGGTTGGTACTTGTGGATGGTGATGGTATTAGAGGGGGATATGTTTTTGTATGTTTGTAGCTAAATATTTATACAAAATGATTTCATTATTTCAATAATCCAATGAATGCTGGCTAAAAGTTATGTTTCCCCAATTACTGGGATATATAATTGTTTCTATGAATTTATAGTCTTATTAAAAATAAAAACGCCACACTATAAGGCGTACGTGTTGAAGATATTTAGGATTGAACCGCATGATTCACAAGCCTGATCTTAGATCTTCAATTCACATTTGTTTTTAATTAAATCTTAAACACTGAAATAAATGTCTTCATTCTTCAGTAATTGGTTATTTTTTTCAGAAGCTCACGGAGTCTATACTCTCTTTGACGGGGAAGAAGAATTAGGTAATTATTAATTAATTGGGTAACATATCGCTGTCACAATTTATAATTATATTTAATAAATGAATAATAAGATTATCGTAATTCAACGATCACTATTTAAATAATGCTATAAACTATAAGATTTCTGATTTTGTGGGGCGTAATGTCTTGTCGATCTTTAAGTTTAAATAACAAACTAAATTACTCAAGTTTCTTTAGCACTTACATCACCATTAACCAAATTTTGAAATAAATCGGTTTATGGCCAGTTTTGATGATTAATTCATATTTCCCTTGACACTTTTATTTCCATTAACCGCTATAAACTTATTTTATTTTTGAATTTAAAGATTAAACGTCTCTAACATTTAAAAGGTCGTGAAGCAACAAACTCCGTCCTGAAGACCAGACGCTCTCTTTACAAGATCCTGCGTCAGAAGCAAAAGAGCCAGGCTCTTCTGAAGCCGAGGAGTGCAAGTAGGAGGCGTTCTCTGTACAACATTGTCAGGAAGAAGTCGAGGAAACCAGCGCCTCTTCCACAAGCGCCTCTTCCTCCAGCTCCAGAACCTGTTGTAATACCTCCTCCTGCACCACGTGAATCAGATAAAGGAGATCGGCTAGGAAATGAGGGCTTCGTCGAAGAGCCAGAAGTCGAGGAGCAAGAAGCCAAAAGTGAAACCGACACTGAGAAGAAGGTTGAAACAGAAAGTGAGACAGTTACTGAAAGAAATGATTCGGAGACGGACACCTTAAAGGACAGCAGCCCCATTGATAGAAAATCCACTCTAGGAAATACACTGGATGGTTAGCATAACGTGCGGTCATGCTATGTGGTTTTGCTATGTGGTGTTGCTATGTGGTGTTGCTATGTGGTGTTGCTATGTGGTATTGCTACTTTGTGTCTTTAAATGTGGGCCAAAACTACTATAACAGTTTACTGTCAATAATCCATTTTACAAATTAGGTCATTTTATTAAGTTTATTTATTAAAGTTATGACATTTCGTCATTCTGCCATTTTTTATATATTTGTTGTGCTTATGTGCTCTTTCAATGAACGTGAAACTGTGCTAACCACCTACTAATAACGTGCTTATCACGTGCTATCCACGTGCTAACCACGTGCTAACCACGTGCTAACCACGTGCTAACACCGTGCTAACCACGTGCTAATAACGTGCTAACCACGTGCTAACCACACGCTAACCACGTGCTAACCACGCGCTAACCACGCGCTAACCACGTGCTCTCCACGTGCTAACCACGCGCAAACTATGTGCTAACACCGTGCTAATAACGTGCTAATAACGTGCTAACAACGTGCTAATGTTGCTGTAAATTTCAGCATAATTTTTTAATTGATTAATTATGATTTTTGTTATCAATTTGTGATTCTTAAAAGACTCTGACCAATCGTCAGTTTGCTTGGATTCGTGCCAACTTCATCAGCTCTCCAACTTATGCTTTAAATGAATAATATAGTATATACCGCAGTTATCCATTCTTTGTGGCAAACAGTAAACAATGCTTCTCACTTTACTGCAGCGTGAGAATGTAGTGAGATTGAGAATACACCGTGATTACGGTACTGCATTATTTAAGCTACTATAACCCAAGCAACAGAGGTTGAGAATCTAAAATATTTCGGGTAACAAGTAGGCTGACAACCTAACAGACACACCCTCAGGTGGGAGATATCGCAGAGGGAGGTTGTGAACAAACCACAGAAGATGAGAGAGTACCGGACTGGTTGGAATTTACCAAGGATCGTGCAGCAGAAAGGGCAGAGATCGTCGTCAGTCGCAGCGATATGCTAGCCAGTTTATTGTGTATATAATGATTTGAACGGAAGATTGTAATGTGATAAACCCTTTTGGAGTGACCGGAATGATTTAAAAGCAATTTTTTCATTGTAGATTAAGAGATTACTTGTTGTTTCTTTGATTGTAAGGATGTGTTATTGAGATTTAAAATATATTTATTTCATTATCTAAAAGAGGTTGTTGTCAATTCTAAAATTTATTGCTTTTACTCGCAAAACGGCCATATAAGATATTTTAGTAAGGAGTCGAAAAACTAAGTGTCTTATAAATAAAATAACTGCGAGACAAACAAAATGAAAGGGTAATGGTGGGAAAAGTAATCATCATCCCGCGGGTCTTCAGATCGCTCACATTATCAATTTTTCTTTTGGTTTTTACTTCTTTCACGGTCGAATAGGTCGTGATAGTAATTTTCTTAAAAATTCATTTAACGTTCGTTCTGCATACTTCTTCATAAATCATTTCATTCATCATTTATATTCTTCAGTCGTCGTCCTATCAATTTCTCCCGTGGCAATTTCTATCTGATTCTATAATTCCACTAGGAAACACTCTTTCATTTCAAACACAACGAAGTTTTTTTTAAGTCAAATCTTAAGAAAAACTTCTTCGCTCGACATGATGGCTTTGTGGTTTTCACTGTCCTTGTGTGAAAATAGTGTTATTCCCCCGATCATGGATGAGGGTATTGCAATGTGTTTCATACCACAAGGAATGTTCAGGCTGTGGAAACGTTCCTCTTCTCTTTCAATTACCTGTTGGAGGGTATTTATTAGTTAAGATATTGGTATTTAAAATATTAGAGGGTATTCATTAGCTACTATACTAACTAAGATATTGGTATCTGAAATGAGTTGAATGTTATAATGATGTTACCATAGGATGGCATTCTTTTTACAATTCTCTTAGTCTTAAATTTGTTAAATGTGTTAAATATGTCAAATGTGTAAAACTTTAATGAGTTTAATGTGTTTAATGTGTTTAATGTGTTTAATGTGTTTAATGTGTTTAATGTGTTTAATGTGTTTAATGTGTTTAATGTGTTTAATGTGTTTAATGTGTTTAATGTGTTTAATGTGTTTAATGTGTTTAATGTGTTTAATGTGTTTAATGTGTTTAATGTGTTTAATGTGTTTAATGTGTTTAATGTGTTTAATGTGTTTAATGTGTTTAATGTGTTTAATGTGTTTAATGTGTTTAATGTGTTTAATGTGTTTAATGTGTACGTTAAATATATTAAATATGTTATATGTTAAATATGCATATATTGTACCTCTATCTGGCCGGCTACATTCATTTGTCTCCACTCAGGGTAACTCTTCAACTGTTCGTAGTCCATATCACCTTTTAACCTCCCCAACACCTCATCACGTGAGATCATTATAACTGATTCGCTCTCTATACGCTGCAGGGATGTTATTGTCAAACATCAAACACAAGGATTTATTTCTTGTCGGAGATATAGTCACAGGGATAACCAGTCACTATTACACTGTCTTTTCGATGCTCAAGGCAAAGGAGTTACTTAACTTTAAGTGCAAAAAGGTTTCACAATTTTAATGCGCACAACTATTACTTATAAGTATAAATAGCTACATGCGAGTTTGACTGGAATGTCTCTCGACTTTTCTGGAATAAGATAACTGATAAGTTGGGAATATTGAGAGTAGGGTGTTCTTAGTTCTTAGTTCAAAAGTTTAATCCAGTTATTTTAAGAATAAAACTTTCTTTAAACATATTTTGAAAATAAGATAATCCAGGAAATGCCACACGTGATCTGACTTAAAGTTAAAAGAAGCAATGTGTAGAAGCTAGCTGCTAGCATCACAGTGTTCCGTGTAATATCATGCATGATCGCATCTCTGTTGATCGGAAAAACGTGCAATAATATAAAAACAGACGTTAGTATGCTAATGCATGTACCCGTTAATATTACTAGCGCTATTAGGTAACACTTGGCAGGGGTGATAACTGACGAGGAGCAAACATTCTTTATTTTCTACTGGAATTACAAGCAAAAATTGCAAAACAAGTGATTTAGCTGTTTGGTTTTTTTTTAAACAAAAATAAAAGTAAGTTAAAATATGCGTCATGAAAGTTTTTTTGCCTGTTGCGACTGATGATAAAATAGACTGCATGATTATTGCAATAGTGATAATTATAGCGTCCATAGCGATCCAGAATATTATCCTGCTATATTTGCATAAATTTATTTTTAACTAGTGGAACATGAGACCTATCCAAATTCTGAGGAATTGAGCTTAATGTCACGTTAAATAGTGCACCAGACCTATATAAATTATGAGTTTTTGTGCTTTAAGTCACGTTTACAAAGTAACGTTTTGAACAGAAATTATGAGCATAATTTACTTTAATATGCATGTTGCACTTGTTGGAAACAAATGGAGACACACAGGATCATCGCAGATCAATATTCATTATTCAATATAGCGCAATATTCAATGTAAGTATAAATTTATCATTCAATATTAATATTCAATACATATCAATAATCAATGTTAAAATTCAATATTCAATATTAATTATATCAAATATAATATTCAATAATTCAAAAAATTGTACCTGTTTGAAGTGTTCGGCTTTCATCTTAGAAATTGGGTTAGAAAGGTGGACTCCATCATAACTAACTGCGTATATCTAGATCAGACAGATATGTTAAGTGTGTTAGATATGTTAAATATGTCAAATATGTTAAATATGTTAAACATGTTAAATATGCTGAATATGTATATCTAGATCAGAGAGACATGTTAAATAACAAATATGTTAAATATGTTAAATATGTATTTCTAGATCATGGAGATACTCGGTGAGCTTTAAGGGTCACTGTACAAGCTACGGTATTCTTATCAGAAGTGGATTTCGGGTGAACTGTATAAACATGCTCTTATTGCTCATCGGCATTTATTTATCGGCATTTAGAGCTGAAACATTCCGAACCAGTCTAAAGAATTTTAGGCAAGTTTCCATAAACGATATTTTATGATCGTCGCCGATAATCGCTTATTGAGCGCTTTTTCGGCGCTTTTTTTTATAAAAACCGTTTACAATCGCTTTTTTTACGATTATAAACGGTTCAAAAAAAATCGCTTATAATCGACTATAATTGATGTCATAATTCAAAAAAGCGCTTTTTTGAATTTAAAAGCGCTTATAAGCGCTTTTAAGCGCTTACTAGCGTCGCTGAGCGATTTGAAAGCGGTTTTCCAGTAGGATTGGCGCCAAAAACGGGTGGATAAGCGGTTGGCCGGATAAGCGACTCGTAGACGCTTTTTTGAACCATTTATAAGCGATTATAAGCGCTTATAATTGGGGTGCAATTTAGCTGTTTGTAAAGCGCAAATAAAGCGCTTATAAGCGCTTTTAAAATTGAGTCAGGAAGACGCTATATTACATCTTATAACCGCTTATAATCGATTATAAGCGTTTTTTTAGAAATCGCTTATTACGGCTAATTCATCGCTATTTCACCGCTTTTACCGCTTTTCCTATCATCCATGGCCAGGTGAGCAGGAATTAAAAAGCGCTTATAAGCGCTTTTTCGATGCTGCCCCTAGCCTGGTCGGAACGGGGAAGTGCCCGGAATTTAAAAGCGCTTATAAGCGATTTCTCAATTCCCCTTAACCTGGTCGGAACTTGCATGTGCTTTTCTGAGCAACCTGGGGTGCACCGGCAGAGTCAGGATTTAAAAGCGCTTATAGGCGCTTATGATCGCTTTTCTACCACTTTTCCTATCACCCATGGCATGGGTTGGCAAGAATTATAAAGCGCTTATAAGCGTTTTTCAATGCTGCCCCTTAGCTGGTCGGAACGGGGGAGTGCCCGGAATTAAAAAGCGCTTATAAGCGCTTTTAAATTCAAAAAAGCGCTTTTTTGAATTATGACATCAATTATAGTCGATTATAAGCGATTTTTTTTGAACCGTTTATAATCGTAAAAAAAGCGATTGTAAACGGTTTTTATAAAAAAAAGCGCCGAAAAAGCGCTCAATAAGCGATTATCGGCGACGATCATAAAATATCGTTGATGGAAACTTGCCGAATTTTACTTGAGACACTCAATCTGTGAATTGACTGTAAAATCCGGATCAGAAAATTATTTATGAGTGGCATAGTTAAAATGTTTCTTGGGTACAATTTGTATTGATTCCGTTTGATGCGACAAGGAAAGGGCTCTTATCAGGAAAGAGCCTTTTCCTTATCCTTTCCTGATAAGAGCCTTTTCCTTGTCACATCAAACGGGATCAATACACATGTTAGCCAAGGAACAGCCAATTGATAATAAAAAAAAAGATATGAATGAGTCCTGTTTAAATAAATAGTAATGTATACAAATCAATAGTTCTTACCATGTGGTGATGCCAATCTTTAGGGAGGTAACTTTTTTCTTCCTCCGTCACACTTCTTACTGACTTCTGCAAAAGGATGGATGTTTGAAAAAAAGTTAGTGGGCTAGAAGACTTTTATTGAATTCAACTTTAGTACTATATATTCGGAACCACCAAGCAAGTGTGTTAACAGAAACTTAACAACACTTAAAGACTGAGTATGGATATGGAGATTGTGAAACACAAGGATATATTTAAAGTCATGGTAACGTAAAACATTCAGAAGTCACCATAAAACATTAGAACTATCAGTAACTTTTTACAGAATGAAGTTAAGACAAATGGATGAAAGGCAATTCAAAAAGTACATTCTAACAAGACTTTTGAAACACCCTGTATTCTCGCAATGTCTGAACGCTCAATATGGAGTAGTGTAATGTACCTGATAGTTGAGTGTAGCTAAAGGGACCACGCCTCTTTTTATCCAACCCGCCAGCCAGTATCTTATATCCACCCTTCTCTGGGGGAATATGAATTAAAATGATATTCTTAATAAACTACCCTTTATCTTGAGTTTGTAGTGTTCGCACTAGAGCTGCAGGTATTCAAGTTACATACTCTACTTTAAAAGAATGTGGGTGTTGTTTCACGAAAACATTTTGGAAGGATCAGCGACTGTTATCTGACAGCTGTCGGAGTTACTGTCGGACGAAAGTTGTGTTATCATTCGGAAGTAAGGGTATTTAAATACCTGAGGGTAGAACTCGAAGAAGCGTCCCCCTATTCTGCCGTTGCTGAGGGTTTCCATCGCTTTAAGAATGTCATGGTGCGACATCCCTGGAGATAAGTGATAGATGATCCACAGTCTTACATGAATAACCTTACAAAGCAATATGACTCGAGAAAGAGTTTTATCATATTTTATAACTTTGTCGAGTGGCTTCGTGCAACAACTTTTACCCAGTTTACAAACAAAAAATAATCATGAGTCATGACTACACAAACATAGTGTAAGATCAATAAAAAATATAACAAAATAAAAGAATCCACCGTTAAATAAACTACTCAACAAACCATGTCTTGAGCAGGATATAAGGTAAATAAACTCCTCAACAAACCATGTCTTGAGCAGGATATAAGGTACTCAGGTAGGGGTGAAGTGTCGTCCTTCTTACGGAAGAAAGACATGTTCAGGGCATCGTCCATAGTCAGCTTGGGGGTAACACCCAGAGATTGCTGTGAAAATGGGGCATGTCAAGAAACTGAACCCACGTGTTGATAAATGATGAAATAAAAAATGGGGGAGTAGCCCGAAAAGGGGCCAAAACTCGGAGTATAAAATGGTATAATAGAGTCTCGAAAAATGGAACATGGAGATTTTGTTGAAACGAATTAATGATTGGGAAATTTCTATTGAATAACAATGTTCAATGCTTACCATAACTTGCCATACTCCAACCAAACCGCTTTCATCACATTTTGGTGATCTGGCCTGCTTTTCTCTTGCCTGCCTCTCGTTCCATAGCGCCACAGGCTCCGCCTAAAAGTTCATAACAATTACATACCTTGTCTGGTATTAAGTACATACCTTACCAGGTCTTATCAGTAAATATTACCAAATTTGATACAGAAATTGTAATTTTCAATATCAAATAACAACAATTAAAGAAACTTACTTTTAATCTCAAGAAACCTTCCAGCTTATCGAGGTCTTCCTTCAACTCGTTCTTGTATACTTTCCAATGGGCAGGATCCTGAAACATGATTTTGAGTCAGTACTAGTATACTACTTTTACAATTTCTAACTCCTTCTTAATCTGTATTAAACAAGTTACAGTTAGGTATTTTTGACCTGCTAAACCACTTGATAGCCTAAAAACATGTCTTATACTTTAATTAGTGTTCATTGAATTGGGTGTTACTTTGTGGAATTGGAGCCTACCAAAACCCACTAAGAGCTAACGGCTGTTTGATCAGAGTATAAGCTGGAGATGGAAAATGAAATAAAGTGACTAAGAGTAAAATCATGAAATCGAATTGTGATTTTACACGAAAACTTACTCAGAAATTTGTTGATTATACAGAAATTCAAGAGCCTAAACAAATCCCAGGCTAACGATAACGAAATTAACGATGTTCCTAAATTTCATATTTTTATAATCTATTGAATGATCACGTTATTGCAAACATCTTCCAAGCATATTATAATCATCTTGCTTGACATTTCCTCAGCTTTATTTACACTTTTAAACAGTTTCAATCACAACCAATGATTGGCGTCTTTAAATAAGATAACAGTAGCAATGATCTTAACATGCACTTATAAAAGTATTGACCTCTTGACCACTCAGATTTATCACTATTGTTTTATTGTTGTATTGTTGATCAATTAACAAATTATGAGATTACGCTGTTACAACCGGAGATGTCATGCTTGATCATTAGCAAAGAAATCAAGTTTCTTAATTCTTTTCACGGACATAAACTCATCAGCTCGTATGCTCAGAATCTCTTGAGTTTTATCAGAGACTCTTCCTCGGGTATGATCCTTAAAATGTACTTTTCTTATAAGGATGTATTTATAACGAGTACTCTCCTAGATTAGAGCTTTAACCTCGAATGTATAAGGTAAGGATTACGGCTTACTTATTGAATATTCAACCGCTATCATAAAAATCCACCACCTTGACTACATCAATACATTTTATGAGTCGGGAGTCTGCACCCTTTCGAGCTTTTGATGCAGGAGCTGTCGAAACCAATTATAATCTGTCAGGGTACGAGGAGGTACAAAGGACCCCCTGACGGTCTCTAGTTGATTGTTCTTCTTATTACTCTATGAATAATGATTACATGTAAGTGGACTGTTTTACAGGTCAGCCAGATTTGCTTTGTTAAGATTTAGCGTGTGAGGTTTTAAAAGTTGATTATTATATATGAGAAAATGTGTTAGACTTAGTCGGAAATGAAGAAAGCATTTGCTTCTAGTTTCTACGGTGTATAAACAAAATCTCACAATACCTTCAAAGCTTGTCCAAAAAGGGGGATATTAGCGGTAGATAGGATCTGCAGACTCATTCAGACTCTGCCACATGCTCAGTAGAGTTTACTCACTACAACTGACTAAACAAACGGTTTATTACCCTTAAATTCAATACTGTCTGTTGAGTCTGCCAACTCTGGCGAAGAATCAAGTCTGTCTGCTGCAGATTCTATTACTGTCTGCCTAGTGGTCACAGTGCTAGTGGTCACAATGCTCTGTGCTAGTGGTCATGACAGACAGGTATTACGCTACTGGTAATAAGAGATTGTGTATTTTATAGAAAACTGTAACACTCTGCCTACAGTGGGTTGGGACACCACACATTTCACCCTCCGATATTGTAAACAAGGTTATCTTGTTGAAGTTAGGGTTGTGATTAAAACTAATGTGTGGGTACAACATTTCATTTAAAGCCTAGCTGGCCAATGGGGGCAGGGGGCGAAACGTCCATAGCTAAAAATCATACGAGTCGCACAAGACCTCTGTACCTCTCTTTTGACGAATACACTGTAGTCGAAATCATCTTTAGCCATGTCCTCCTCCAAATCTACCAGCTGAGCTACCGTACTCTTTACTTGCCTCGGTTTGTAAGTATCAAAATATGCATTGTCAATAGCAACCCGAGCTAGGTTCCTCGAGTCCTTCAAACTTATCCTCCGTTCCTTAGAAGCCGCCACAATCCGTTCCTTAGAAGCCGCCACGATCCGAGCCTTGTCAGTGATAGTGAACAGTTTACCACCACTTTCCCGGCTGGTTTTACGGGTTCTTGTACCAGGGTGCATGTTGTTGTCTCCTAGTGGAGCCTCTTTCTCCTGATTTATCCGCTCAAATCGGGGACCAGTGTCCGTTTTATCGTAGTTGAATTGAGATCGGTCGTTTTTGTAAGAACGGTCTATCCCTTGTTTCATTTACTCGGGATTCGAGTTCACTTTGACAGTTTAATAATGGGAAACAATACTGTTTATGTAGAAAGTTTGGACATCTGCAGCTACATGGTACTAGGAGAACGGTATGTGTGAAGGGAAATCGTGTTATTTAGAGGCTGCTGCTAATTCATGATAGAGGCTGAATCAAATGTAAGAAATCAGTTGGTTTGCAGCATAGAAATATGTTGCGTTTTGTAACGTGCAATTAAAGCGTATCTAAAGCAAAAGAACGGCCTAATAAAAAGTACATTTATCAAATTCAAAACAGCGGCCAAAACAAAGCCCCAACACAACAAACCAATATCAACTATGCAAAGCCCCAACACAACAAACCAATATCAACTATGCAAAGCCCCAACACAACAAACCAATATCAACTATGCAAACTACTAGACATCCGGCCACAAACTATCAAAACTGATGAGTTAATACAAAAGCGTAGCAAAAAGTTATGCGGAGTAACGTGGAGCACAGAGCAAAGCGACAGACAGTGAGGCATCCTCCTGATCAAAGAGAATCAAACGATTACCATCATTACAAATCAACGAAAGAGTATAAACGGCTGTAAGCAGCGCCACGAAATGATTGTGTGTTAAAACCGGTAGATATAGACCAACTCTCTCTCTCTCTCTCTCTCTCTGATCAAGAGGAGGAGTGTTAAAACCGCTTTACACATCGTGTATACATACAACAATAACTCTCGATATAAGAGGACTGCAACACTCTACAAGAGCGACCTGATGAATCAAGCAGACTAAGATTACGTAGTATGCACTAGAAGAGCTGTACAAGTATTATTATAGAGCTCGTACAAGAACAGAATAATAATAATATAATCCTGCAATTCTCAACATGTTTCATCACTCATCAGCTCAGTGTGATGATGAGAGTGGTACTGGTATAAGCAAATGTTCAGTGCTTATCTCCAGAGGGCGTGTATCCGTGTTGTAGCGCTCACTTTAATGCGCGGAGTTATGTAACGCGCGGACATGGTGTTTAAAACCATGCTTAGTATTATTATTACAGGGGAGGGGAGGTTGTAACACAACTGTGATGGAAAGTGAAGTGCGGCCAGCAGCCAGGTATTAATGAATGAAACTTAAAAAGCCGTGCCGTAGGAATATTGTTATGAAGGAACATTCAAGATGTTTCTACAAGGTATCTAGGATCATAAGAATATTTTTTGTTGTGATACTGTCACTAAAATCCACTGCATAATTTCCCACCAGTGGCGAAATGTACATGTGTGCCATTAAATTTATTGGACTAATGAATTATATTTTTTAATCAATTCATCGATTGACTGCTTTATAAATAATTTTAAAAGTTACCTCGATTTGGTCTAGGGATGTTATGTATCTATAATAGTAATACCAACCGAGTAGGCATTTCATTGCTGTAAGATTGCCCCCAATGTGAATAATTATACACTTAGTGCATGTGGGAGGTGCGGGCAATCTTACCTGATTATTTCGTCAAGTTGAGGTATACTGCTGGAACACTGACAATCCACGAAGTAATTACGGTTAGCTGTTCTATTCCAAGCAATTGGCAAATAATAAATAGCAATGGACTATGATGTAAATGTTCTGTATCAGCTGAGTGTCTTATGTCATTGTTCTAATCATGTATCAGCTGTATATTCTATCATGCAAGCATGAAACAGGTTTATATCCTTGCTTTGTAAGTTTGTAAGTTGGGAGAGTTGAGACAAATGAGAGAGGGCCAAAGTTACCACCTTGGGGAACATTATTAAAAACGTTTCCATGTAATGATTAGTCGTTACCTCAGCCGTTTCTGGAAAATTCTTCCGTGACATCTTTGTAGAAGTAAAATAATTGTTGACGAGAAGGTTTAAAAAGTAAGTTTATTATTGAAACCGTGGATAGCCTGATGCTTATTACGGTCAAACCTCACAAGATGAAGCTAATGGAGAAAAAATGCACGTTCCGAATAAATATTTCTTTTTAAAGGAGTACATTGCTCCATGATGATGATGATTAGCGATTCAAGGAGCGCCTGGCCTGATGATATTGATAAACAGCAGCTTGTCACAACGTGTCATGATTCATTGTTATTTGGAAGCAAGCAGCATCTCAAATCGTGAGCATGGTTCTTTACTCCTTTATAATATGCCTCGTTGTGATCATTAATACTGTTCACTCCCCCAATGATTCTAATTTTAGACATTCTGTATCGTGGCTCACAATGATAAACATGTGATAATGAAATGCTGGCTCCCATACTCTCAGTGCTTCTTGACTCTTGTCATTTTATATCCTGCAAACTTGTTCCGGTATTGTTATTCTTTAAAATCCGGCTTACAATACTTTTGTAGCAGCTGCACTTAATTATATCAGAAACATTTGTCACTCAATATAAGTATCAAAATTAGAGGCTTATAATATCATACGAGTTTATATCACAGATCTATAGCAAGCATATCGTGATATAGAAATGCAGCCCTGTTTTTACAACGTTAATTGTCAAGAAAGTGTTTAACTGGTGTTGTTAAACTAGATTTTACTATAGAGGAATTGTGATATCAGATATGACATGCAGACCAAGACTTTTAGAGAAGCAGCTTATTGTAGAGTTTAACTAGAATTAGACATTTCCAAATAAAATCTGGTTAGCTCCTCAACTGCAATCAAATACTGGTGAGGCATTAAAACTGTATCCGGTATCGTAAAAGAATGAAAAATCCAATGTAATTTTTCGGCGTAGTCATTTCACCGTTAGTTCTTACTCAAAACCAGTCACGGGTGACAGGAGCATTATACTAATATACATATAGAGAAAGTTTATGAGAATATCACATACTTACGTTAAAGCTATCAATCACAAAACAACAGCCATGAAATTTAAACACGTATTATACACTTACTGTTATATCCACCATGTGGAACAGTACTATAACACACCAGGTTATAATTAAACTCTGTGATATCGCTAAATCGTATGATAATGATCATCATGGTATTTGGATGTAGTCCAGATATCCAATATCTTGGTAAAATGTCGGTTTGTACAAAACATTGGTTACTGTTAAAATGCACCGTATCTATTGGATATCTGATGAGCAAAACCTAGTCTTGGACCACAACTTTCGGTGGTACAGGGCCAGCTGGTATGAGAGCCAAACATGTTATGATCTTTAGGTTTTCGTGATACCCCAAAGTTTTAAACTTGGTGAGTTGAGGTTTAATTATAGGCTCAATACATTATATTTTTCCATTTTGATTTTTGAAAAGAAAAAAATTTTGAGATGACCATTGGGCGAATGAAGTTGAAAATCTAAATGAACATTCTACGAGTCCTTTTCATCAGAGATAAACTTAACATCTTTATAGCCATCCAGGAGCAAAGTCTAAAAGAAGTAAAATTTTGTCATTTGCAGTTGCCTCAAATCTGCGGTAAACTCTTCCTTTGTCTTTAAAGAGTAGACTCTGCCCCCTGGCACACTCTGCCCCACACTCTGCCCCCTGGCACACTCTGCCCCACACTCTGCCCCTGGCACACTCTGCCCAACACTCTACCCCCTGGCACACTCTGCCCCACAATCTGCACCACACTCTGCACCACATTATGACATTGTGGCTCAATCTGCTCGGTTGTTCGTGACCAGAGTCGGTCTAAGGGACAAGTCCGATGAGTTTGATTAAAAGCTTGCAATATTTCCCAAGGATCTAACCCTGAAATTGGTGTGTAGTAGCTTGTGAGTAAGTTTCGGGTCAGTGATCATGCCGAGTATAATGGTATCTCTTGGCAGGTCCATCTGCAGTCTCTCAGAAACAACACTTAATAAATTGAATAGTGAATAGTAGTCGCCCAATTACGTATCCAACCTCAAAGTTCCTCCAAGGACCTTTATATTTCAAATTAGGTTTTCAGCGTGGCCCAAAAGCTTCAAATGAAAGGTGAACAGTGTAAAATATTCTTTCAACGTTTAAAATGTCCCCTACAATTTTGTTTTTTGACAATGATATGACTATTACATGACGGCTTTTCAGTAGCCTATCAATAAAGAGATGCTACTTATCACAAAACGGAACCCTTTTGTATTCTATTTAGTCTGATCTTAAAGGAACGGCTCTTCTTTAAAAGCTCGACCTCAATAGACATGTGTTGTCTACATGTTTTAACACATGCACGCCTGTAATACGAGCAACTTTTCAATTGTTTAATAATAAATTTTAAACATTTTTTCCAGTAAAAGTTGACGAGGTCTCAGGTCATCCGTCAATTTTCTCATGTACCTAGTACAATTGCCTAGCTTGCTAGGATATTGCTCGCGACAAATAAAAGAAAAGGGAAACAATAATAACTGTCGCACGCTGAAACAAACATAAGATGCAATCAGAACCTGGCTATTCTGTCCTTCTTGCCATTATTGTGATGATGTCATGTGGTTCAACACATGGGCAGACACAAAACCAAGCTCAAAACCACCTGCCACACAACAAAATATCTTCTTGGAGAAACAATGAGTTCTTCATGTAGACTAACTGCTAAACACTTTAACTCAATTGTCTGACTAATCGCTAAACGGTATTTGCCAAATGAAAAGAATCCCATTATTTAGTTCTGCTCTGCCTTTGTCAGGATGGTAACATGACAAGGTTCAGATTTTATCCGATCAAATAATTATAATCACTCGTTTTAGTGGGGTACAGCCCTTGAGAAAGATCTTATTATGCCGTAATGACAGCCACAAACTGATGATATAAGACCAAAGTTGCTGAATTCTGGATTTGAATTTCGGTATTTGTTTTGCATTTTTCAAATGCAATATCAATATGAGACAGTGTCCGAACGGTCCGACTGATCGCGGCATTTGTCGGATAAGAGTCTTTTTGGACACCGGTTTGCTCTGAGTGTTACTTTTTGACAACGAATGTTTGATGAGGCAAGAAACGCCACGGAGCGCTTTTACGTGAAAGTGAGGCATACAGCAATTAACCAAAATAATGAATAATTCACCAAACTTTTATAATCACATTGAAAAAGCTTCAGAGAATCCTTAAAGTGGGAATCGGTCAGAAGATAATTTTCACTTAGAATCCTAAAAAAGCAAAGCCAAACTAATAGTTGATCGGCACACCGCTACAAGCAAAGCAAGCTTTGTAACCTTTGATCTT